GGTAGAAGCAACACGTGCAAGGACTTGCGGGTTTCATCAAAGACATGCTTTGAGTTGAGCAGTGAAGGCCTGAGCCCTCCTTTCAAAAAGTATCCAAGGGGCCTCCACCATCTCAATTGCTATGCAGATCCAAGGGGGCTCATTTTCCATCTTCCAATCAAGATGCTCACCTCCGGATGGGGACCGCATATGCTGCAGCACTCCAGGATCTGCCGCCCCACCAGCCGGAAGAAATCGAGGCTGGCCTTACGCCACGTCTCTTCAGATAGGACGGCGCACTCTGGTGCCCTCCGGAAGGCCTCCTGCTGCCCCTCCAGCAGCGCCCCAAAACCCAACTGTCCCCGCTGCATCTGCTTGAGCAGCAGTTGCAGGCTCTCCTGTACAACAATCGTCTGGCGGCTCCAGACGTACAACCCCAAGTGCTCCCCATCGAAATGGACACTGTGCTTCCTGGCGCACTTGCAGGAGTACATTCTGGTGCGCACGGACTGGCTCCAAGTCGAGGCATGCACCACCGCGTCCTGCCAGAGCTCGACTCACTTCCCACCGCACGGAGGCGGTTCGAGAGGGCATGGCGCGCTCAGCACCCCGAGTTCCCCTAGCTCCTGGAAGTCTCTCCCCACCAGCTTGCTGACCCGAATCGGTCCGCATCTCAGCCGCGTCACCCACGGGTCGTGAAAGTCCGGGGCGTCGCTGAGCTGGCTCAGCTTCGGCTTGGTCACCTGGACCGCCTGCGTCTCCTGAAGCATGACGGGGGCCCTTCCTACCCCCTCATGCTGGCATCCCCGTAGAGCACCCTCCAACGTGCAGCTGCCGCAGGAGGAAACCCAACATCGGATCGCCTCCTTGCCCAACGCCTCTGCGGGCGGCTCCCGCACACTCTGGGGTGCCACGCGCACGGTCAAAGGAGCCTCACCCGCATGACTCCTCCACCACTGCTTGCTCCTACGCACCCCTGTCCATGGCTCGCTCACATCCACCCCTCGGGGCAGTGCTGATGTGGACGGCTCAGCCGCCCCGAACAATTGCTGATGCTCTTGACAGAAGCAGTCCACACCGGCGCAACCGGCCGGCTCGTGGCGCTGCCCGGAGATGAGGCCTATCAGGTGCGCCTCCTCCTCGCCGGCCCCTTCGTAGCTCGCACGCAACTCGCGCTCTTCCCTGCTCCTGCCGAGCAACGGCAGCGCTCCGTTCCACCGCTCCAACCACTGCCTTGCTCTACTTAGGGCATCCTGCCCAAGATGCAGCCCCTGTGCAAAATGGACCTGCCCCGCCCGGACGGCCCGATCGGCCGCGATGATGTGGCTACAGTGGTGCTGCGACGGACAGCCGTCTCTCTTGCCCTGGCAGTACCACAACCCATCAATGCTTTGATGCAGCATCTTGTGAGCGGGGCTGACTCCTTTGGGGCTGCTCCTCGCTGCGAAGAAGCGCCCCGTGGAGTCCGTACCCACCTGCTCGACCAGCCCTGCTCCTCTTCCCAATTCCCTGGCCGTGGGAAGGCCCCTCTGCTCCAAACCCGAAGCACCCAGGGCCGCAAGCACCAGCTTGTGAACGCAAGGCGCGTCCCTGGCCAGCCTGCCACGATCGCATGAGCAGTTCAAGTGTCCCTGACTATCCCACCAGGATTCCTCGAGCAACGCCTTCTCCTTGGTGGGCTTGCCGAGCGCTTTCGGCCTCCCTCGGTTGTGATCCCAATATGTCATGTAGAACCGCAGGGGGGCGGCCGCATAGGCGTCCACTCCAGCAGGAACAACTAGGCGGCACGTGCCCTCCAGGACGCCGCTCAGGAAGAGGGCAGCTTGGGCCGCGATGCCGATGTGGGCCTCAGGCTGCAGGTGCCAACAAGATCTTTCAGGCACACTTCCTGACCGCTCTCGGAAAACAACCTCACGCCTTGCTCACAGTCGGAGCTGAACGAGCACCTCAAGATCGCAGCTGGGATCTTACGCATGATCCCACCTTTCGGGTGACGGGCTCCAAGAAATTCCATGAACAGCATGTAGTCGGTCCTTGTGCTCCCCCTTTTTGCATGTGCACAGGCCAGACAGTGTGTCCATTGAAATCTGGCGGGACGAGCGCAATCGATGGCAGACGCTTGTTGCATTGCAAATCTTCATAGGTTCTATTAAGAAAATAGTTGCACTCACCCGGCAGCATCTCGCGCGCGCGGCTGCCGGCTTGCATGCCCCTGTTCAGTGCGCTCTCAGCTGCAGGTTTTTTGGGCCTCTTTCGGGACACGGTGCTCTCGTTTGCAATCACAACAGCCTCGAGCAGCTCGTTGGTCAGCTCCAGCGTTTGCCTCCAGCTCCCCGAGGCCTGGCGCTCAAAGATCAGCGCATCTTGCTGGCCATGACCACGGTTGCACAGACTCACGCTCTCTACATCGGCGCTGAGCTTCAATTTCCCCATCCGAAGCTTGTCCACGCAGCCCAGGCAAAGGAGTTGGCGTTTTTGCTTGCTCTTTGGAACGCTGCAGCTCACGAGGTAGCCCTTCATCGTGCTCCTGCCACGCAGGCTCAGCCTCAAGCTTCCATCTGTACTGACTGCTTTCGACCAGACTTGCTGCTTGCATGTGATGCAGTTGCTTGAAAACTGCCCTACCTCGGCCGGTCGGACGCACTCCTCGCCTATGTAATACAGACCGCGTCCAATCTGTGCTAGGTCCGAGGCTTGGTAGTGCTCAGTGGGGGCTGCCATGACTCAAACCCCCAAACATGCACCAACATGCACGAAGCTGCCCCTTTGGAATCGATTTGGAGCGCTGTCTAACACTCCGACCACCTCTGCTCATCTTTCCGGCCTCCCTCTTTCCCTAAGTACTCACGGCTCTAGACTGGGAGGGCACCCGGGACGGCGGACCGCCGGAAGGCCCAATATTCGATCGTAACCGTTTCGAACAGCTCCGGCGGTGCGCCAGATTCGCAGCGGGGGGGCTGCCGGCAAAATCCTCTTCGGTACCGTTATCAGTCAGGTGACGCTAAGCCAAAACTCGAATTTTCTCGACCGTCGGATCGATCGCGAGAACTTAGGGATCAAGAGGACGCATTCCGGCCGTCCGATAAGGTTCAACTTCATTTGGTTGCCCCAATGCAAGGTCGCGCCATACCGGCATGGGCAGTGCATGCAAGCCGGCCTGCTCCTGGTGACCGTACGTACTCGGATCGACGGTCGGAAGTCCACGGTTCAATGTGCGGAGCCGCGCGCAGTCCGGCTACGGTACTAGAAGAGCTATAGCCTGTCCATCATGGCGCGCGCGCCGCTTATCGTCCGAGTGACTCACGCCCGGCGGCCGGCCCCTATAGTATAATATTTCCGCGGCCGCGTCTTGTGGCCCATCATGGTGTGCGCGCCCCAAAGTCAATATCCGGGACTGCCCGCCAAAATCGGACGCGGGTGGGGTGACGTCATTCTAATCGGTTTGCACTAACACAGCTCTGGAGTCTAACTATCGACGCCGACGGCGACGCTGCTATAATATGTATAACGGTACCGGTCATATTGAAACTTGAGATGGATCTACTGTACTCCAAGTTATCTTAACCACAAAAGTTGGTAGGTTGGTTACCTACTTGCAGCGCGCTTCAACCACAGCAGATGATGGCATCAGGAAGATCGACGATGTTGACACAGGAAGAAGTGTCGACATTGATCCTTTCGGGGGGTCCAATATGGTCATGGATGTAGCCCCCCGGTTAGGAAACGCGTTCCGGGCGTAGCTCCCTTCATGCTGGAGTGACGAAGTCTGGAGTCTTCATGGACGGCTGCAGCATTGAAAGGAACTAAACCACCATGGGAAGCGTAGCGGCGGACGATGATGGCCCTGGCGCCGGCAGCATGGGCCTGCATGTTGGCGCTGTTGACATGTTGATGATAAATGTGGGCATGGCGGCGGAGAGAGTCGAGAGAGTTGCTGAGCTCTAGCAAAACAAGTTGGGGAGAGGCCGTTCAGTTGTGAGTATCTTCTGTTCCTAAGGGACATGAATCGCAGCAGCCCGGAGGAAGCAGATGCCCTTTCTGCCAAGCTTCATGGCCTGCTGAGCTCATGGCGGTTCCCTGTCGGAGCCGGAAGACTCGAGGGTCGTCGGCCCGGCCACCGGCACCCCTGTTCGCTTTGCCAACGATCCTTGTGGCTGTTATAGTCTTCATTCCTGTTGCAACTTTGGGGGGCAGGCCAGATGCAGGGGGGTTGCAGCGTCCCAGGCGCATTCTGGCTTCAGAAGACTTGGAGTCGGTAACTCCGGTTGCGCAGCTCGTGGGGAGGGTTTCCGAGGAGTTGACCGGGCAGACCGGCACGCTGAATGCAACGGATTTTGCCGCGCTCCTGGCGGTCCGAAAGGCATGGAACCTTGACCCCCGCCTGTGGAATGTGTCCGTGCCGCCCTGCGGGGTGGCCAACGGCACGCCTCCCTGGCCCGGCATTCTCTGCAGCATGGTTGGGAACGAGACGCGCGTCGTCTCCATTTCCGACCCCCATGTTGCGGCGGGGCTGTCTCAACCGCTGTCCGGAACCCTCCCTCCTGAGCTCGGCAACCTGGCCGCGTTGCAGGGCCTCTCACTCGACAACTCCAAGCTCTTCGGGACGCTCCCAAACTCTCTGCAGAACCTGCAGCGCCTGAAAGTGATCCGCCTGTCGAACGCGTTCATCTCAGGCCCCATCCCCGCGGAGCTGAGCGCATGTCAGAGCCTAACGGAGCTACACCTCGCGGGGAACTGCCTGAGCGGGCCTGTCTCGCCCAGCTTCGCACCGCCGCAGCTGGCCATCCTGGATGTGCAGGACAACTACCTGACGGGCCTGCTGCCGGAGACGCTCACGGGCCTCATCAAATACCCCGCTGTGGTGAGGCCTTTGATGCTCTGTTTCTTCTTCACGCACATAACTTTCTATTTTATCATTTTCCTACATCAAGACCCTTCAAGTTGGGGCGCTCTTTGATGGTTCTTGCACGGAACCATCCCACACACATCCGGTGTCGACCAATCTGGTGGGGCTTAGGACGCTTTGGTCATGGCAGCTTTTCTTTCCAGGCGCCCTGGGGCGCGGCCCGCATGATGTCATCTGTGCGTTGCTGATGTCACCATTTCAGCTTTGTGCTTTGCTGTATGGTGGCGACATGGTGGTGGCCTGGGTCTTGACATTGGGACTGGGGGTTGGCGTATCTGCTTTCATGTGCGGTGATCAAGGGGCAACTTGTGATGCATCCCTGACGAGTTTCAACTTTGGCCGCGCGAATCTGTCACCGCAGAGCGGCCACAGGGTTTTTCCCGACATGGGGGAGTGTCAGTGTCATCATGTGTCGCCACTCTTGGCATTCATGGTTCTGGGAGCAGGTTTTTGCATGTTTTGACTCGGGTGAGCTTCTGCGGCAGTTCTTCTGGTAACGCCAAGCACGCGGTTCAATTAGTGGAGAGTTTATTTTCAGTGCCTGGATGGATGTTGGAGGTTGCAAGGGATAGTGTGAAGGCACGGATTTGCGGACCTGTTCACATCCAAGCAAGCAGGTGCTAGAACTTTTCAATGGTCCGGAGGGAACCATGAGATCACTTTCAAGCAGAGTGACTTGCAGTGGTGGCTCTATATTTACTTGTGCGGTACATGTTGAAGCAGTTTGGATAGTTTTTATGGATTAGTTGTGTTGTCATTTGTGTTTGATATTCTTAAAGAAAGGTGATATCTAGATGGCGGTATCAAAAAGGAAACTGGTGTGACAGACAAAGCTTGTTGGGGACTTTTGGAGTTCGATTGGGTTTGGGGACTTTGAGATGTATGTCACTATGAATAACCTCTGGACTTTGTGGCCCTCAAAACTGTTGTGACGCTGGAAAGAACCTGCCGCCGTGGGTTGGGCAGATTCGTTACTTTGTCTGTCTTCAAGAACATAGTTCAACAGAACCGTGTTTGCAAAGTCAATCTTGTTGATCGTCGTTATCTCATCACTTGCTCCATATCAGATGAAATTTGAAGCTTTGGGCGGTGATGCCCCCCCCCCAGGTCACAACCACGAAAAGCGCTGCAATCAAGGCTTACGCGGTCACATCCAATCATCGGCGGTAGCTAACCACTTGTGGTCACGGCTAACCAAACCCGTCTCACCATTGCCCAGATTGCCAACAACTGCATGGACCGCGACACCAACAATGGCCAGCGAACCACAGACAAGTGCAACGAGTGGTACGCGCAGTTCCGCCCCGACCGGCGCATCCTGGAGGGCATTCGCATCAGCTGGTACCCCCCCGGCTGGATGACCACCGTCGACCCCTGCTCCAAGCACGGTTGGCCGGGGGTTACTTGTGACCCGGTTTATAACACCCATGTCATCTCGCTTGAGCTGAGCAACTTCGACATCGTGGGAGACATCAATGAGGTCAGCCTGGGCCAGTTAACCCACCTGCAAACCCTGTCTTTGAGCCGTAACCCAGGCATCCAGGGCACGATTCCGGAGTCCCTGGGCAACTTGGTCAACCTAACCGACCTGCACCTGGATAACTGCGCGCTCAGCGGCCCATTCCCCGACTCCCTGCTCCGCTCCCGCCTCGCATGGCGAGCGACCAACGGAGCCGTCATCAGCAACCTGACGTCAACGGCGGGGAATGTGACATCAGCGGCGGGGAATGTGACGTCAGCTGTTCCCCGCGAGGCGCTTGTGCTGAACTTGGAGCACAACTGGCTCAACGGGACGCTCCCCCCCGCCCTGCTGGCCTCCCCGCTGGTGCGCTATGGCCAGAACTGCATGGGGGTCCCCTTTGCCCCGCTCACGGACCAGCGAACCGCCTCCGACTGCGCCAACTTCTACGCGCAAGTCAGCGTGACCCCCCGCAACGCGGGGTTTCTCCCAGAGACCTATCCATTCTACCCAAAACCCCCCCTGAGCACCCCCCCCCAGGGGCCCGCCTCGCGGCGGGGCCAGGTGGTTGCGATCGACGTGATGATTGTGATCACGATCGGGGTTGCGACCGTCGTGTGTACAATTGGCTTTTTGTGGTACCTGCGGCGCAAGCGGCGGATCGACCACTGGCGGAAGCAGACGGGGGGGGAGGTGCCCACTGAGAAGTGGCAGCTGGAGGCCATGGCCATGGACGTGCCGCAGTACAGCGTCAGCAGGCTCAAGCTGGTGAGGCGCCCTGTTTTCTTTCGTTTCTCCTTCGTTCTTATGAACGATCTGGCACATGGCATATCAGTCATTGGGAACTGCAGACGAGGTAAAATCTGTAGGGTGAAGCTGGAGAGGCAATTAACTTTGTTGTTGTCTTGTTTTCCTAGGGGTTAAGAGGTTCTTAGTCAAGAGGGAGTTAAGCGTATTTAGGGCAGGGCAATCCGAGTCTGAAGGCAGTCTTGTAGAGATTGGTTCATGAGACAACATTAGAGCAGGGTTGGTCATCGTGTCTGATTGTAAGCATCTGTCCGATTTCAGATACTCACAGTAAGAAGTTTCCTTCATATTTTCCCGTTTCTGGAACCCCCTTCCCCCCACAATTTACTGCAGATCTTCAAATGTTTGTGGTCGCATTCTGACTAAAGTTTTGCTTCTTGAAACCCTGGTCTGTTGCTGGGGCTTTCGGAACTGCAATTGGAAACAGTTTCCTTGCTGAGTCAACTTTCGTTCCACTGTTGCTGAGCACAATCGGTGTAAGCTGCAGAGGTTTCAGGTTTCAGGTTTCGGGTTTGCATGCTGCTTTTTCATGTTGGTGCGAGTGCCCTGTTGACATTTGCTAGTTGAGGTGTCGACATGAGGAAGAAGAATGTCGTCAGCTCGACTTTTCTTTCTAGTGGCAACCATGTTCAGAATGTGTTCTCAGCAATGAAATTCGCCAACTAAACACGTCATCAACCACAACAGGGTCCATGTAGACAACCCTGGGGAGACAACCCCTGGTATCAACTGCCCTTAAAAAAGTTGATTCATCTTTTCCAACTGACCCGGAGGTAAAGATGGGACTCGTACGAGAGCCCCATTGCTACCAAAGTTGAAGCGCCACTTCCAGGAGCTTGCTGGTTTGAATAGAAACCTGCTCTTCTCGTCCAAGTGATTGCTTTCCTCTCAGTCGTGACCAACAACGTTTTCCTTCATCATTCTCGTTTTGGAGCCTTTTTCTATAATGTTCGGGGTCTCAGCTGCTGTTGTCGACCTTGAGGTCCCCCCCTGGAGTAGACTATTAGCTTTCTCACGATGGATGCATCATGCTGAGCTTTGACAGTCCGTTGTCCCGCCCCTCCTCCGCAGTTGACCAGCAACTTTGCCGCCAAGAACTGCGTGGACGGTCGTCCCCTTCTCGTGGACCAGGAGGGCAACCAGGACACGTTCACACTGCTCGTCTCCAACAGCGGCAGCATCCTGGAGCTCTTCTCCAACGCCAGCCCGAGCGAAGGGGGATCCCTCTACACCGGCCTCGCGTCCATGGGCGCCATCCTCGTGCGACAGCTCCCGTCCCACGGCAAACGGAGCAAACTAGGGGCGGGGGCGGACAAGCAAAGCTTCATGGCGACGGTCGGGTTGTTGAAAACGGTGTCCCACCCCAACCTCCCTCGGTTGACCGCGTGCCACCCTTCCAAGAACCGGGCCTGTTTCCTGGTGCATAGCATGCCTGGCGCGAGCAAACCGGTGAGCGTTCAGGCGAGACTTGCGGAGGGCGGGGAGCGGTTAAGCACGAAACGGGGGGGAGAGGAAGCCCCGGGACCGAGTGAGAAGCCGGGGAGGGCGCCGGAGGCAAGCAGTAATTCCGGGAAGGTGATGACCTGGGCGGAACGGTGGCGGGTCATGAAGGACGTGGCGCTTGCTCTGGAGTACCTGCACGAAGAGCATAAACCCGTCTTGCCGCATGGGATGGTTAACTCGTCCCGGGTGCTCCTAAGTTCGGACGGGCAGGCGTTTCTGGCCGACGCGGGGTTGAGCGGATACCTAACCCAGCTCGCGAGCATCGAGGGCGACGTTTTCGCGTTCGGCCTGCTGGTTTTCGAGCTTATTCGGGGGCGCGGCCTTTCCACTAACGAAAACGCTAACCACCTAGTCAAGCGCGCGGTCAGCCTGTTAACCACGGGGCATGCGTCCGAGTTGCTAGATAAGCGGTTAGGGCGGGAGGGCCGGGAGGCGGAATTGTCGGGTGCGGTCGCAGCGGCGGCCATGTGTATGCAAGCGGACGCTTTGGACCGGCCCAAAATGAGCCTGGTCGTGCGGACATTGCAACGGAGCGAGGAGCTGGCGCACGAGATGGAGCACTCGGTGCTGTCGGGGCACAATAGTCTCCACTCGGACGGCGCCCCCGCGCGCGACATCACCAAGATCTTCGAAAGCAGCACTGCGGCGCGGCTGAACGCTCTGGCCGGGACGGGGGGCGTGGAGAAAACCCTGGGTTTAGACCCCCCGCAGGTTAAGCCCGAGGTTAAGGATGTAATTCCCGGGTTTATGAGCAAGGCGCCGATCACGCTGGTGGGAGCGAGTTCGGTGTGGGGGGACATCTTCAACGAAGAGGATGTGGAAACGCTGGCGGAAAGGCTGGCAGATCGGGGCGCTCCCCCAGGGGAGACGTCGGGGCGGGACGGGGTTGAGAATGGGGTTAACGGAGGGGCTAGCCCGCAGGCGAAAGCGGAGAAGGCAGCGTCGGATGAGAAGGCGCGGTCGGCCAAGTACCGGAGTTGGATGATGGGGGGGGAGCTGCAGATGCATCCCGAGCATATCAAATTGGGGACACTCCTAGGACAGGTAAGAGGTCGTTTGGTGGGGTTCGGGAGTCGGAAGTGGGGTGGGATGCCAAGCGTTATTCTGTGCCTTGTAACGTTTGTCCATCTGCCATTTTCGCTTTCGGAATGGACCTCGTGAGCTACACCCAACCGACCTTCCTTACATAAGGTGGGCATACGTGTCGGCACAGGTCTAGCAGTTCCTATGAAGCCGGCAACTTCGACATACGCTCTTACCATGATCCAGAGTCCGTTCTCCCCTGCTTCCGAAACGCCTATCCTTCCCCTTTCTTTACCCAACGTCAAGGCCCCTCAGCATACTTCCGCTTCGCCTTCAATGTCTGTTCCCCCTGGGGTTCATCATTGGGCTTGCTCACTGATGTGGAGAGTCTAAAAAACACGAAAATACCATCTTAGCAGGTGTATGGCTTCCTTGAGTTCCGCCTCACACGTTCCTTCCGCTCCAGGGCTCGTTCGGGCGGGTGTACCACGCGGTGTGGCTGGGCACGGACATCGCGGTGAAGGTGATGAGCGGCGTGGAGGGCGCGGCGCTGGTCACCGTGTGGCGCGAGGTGGTCATCCTGCGGAAGCTGCGCCACCCCAACGTCGTGCTCTTCATCGGGGCCGTCGAGGTGCCGCAGTCGCGCGAGGTGAGGGCACAGCGCAGATTTTGTCTGTCAAACCTGCAAGAGTCCGTTTCTTCGGGCATCCAGACCACTGAACTTGCCTATCTTGCAGGGAAGCTTAGCCGCCCCCCCTTGATGCGCTCCTTCATGGAACTCTCATTCTGCTGTTTCCAAAGAGACTTGTTAGAATTGCGCTACAGGAGTTAGGGGTCGAAAAGCCACTCTGAGGAGCGTAATAAGCAAGTGTCGAGGCAAACTCAGCACAAACTGGTGTTGAAGAGCTGAGTTGTACTCTTGTGGAATGCTGCTCGGACAGTTGCTGGGGGTGGTTCAGTCCCTGCTTAGTTTCAGAGTTTCCAGGTTCGAGGTCGCCACATGGTCAATGACTGCAGCTGTACACGGTGATTGAGTACCGTGTGCGCGGCAGCCCGTTCGGTTTTCGGGTTCTTGGTTAAAAACGCTGTTACACTGTTCGCAGGTGTACATCGTGACGGAGTATCTGGCCCGCGGCAGCCTATTCGAGGTGCTCCACCGAGACAGCAGCAAGGCCCCCATCAGTTTGTCCCAACGGCTGCAGTACGCGCTTGGTGTGGCACGGGGCATGGGCTACCTGCACCTCCAGGGGATTGCGCACCGCGACCTCAAGACGGGGAACCTGCTGGTCGGCCTGGATAACACAGTCAAGGTGGGTCGCGTATGTTTGCTCTAAAGTTGAATCGTTTGGCCTTGTGCTAGAAGGTACCTTGTTCGAGAAGGAAACTTGTAGCTTTGCTTGGTGAACGTTTTGAGTCAACTTTTGTTTGTTTCAGAGTTGAAAGATGGAAGTGGAGACGCTGCTCGTTGATTTTATGGGCTTTCCCTTGAGGGTTTCCTGTGCTTAGACTGGTTGTCCCCGCGGCATCCCCCTCCAAACACGTTGCTGACCCCGGTACTGTGCTCTGTTTTGTCAAGTGTGCGACTTCATGAATTCTCGCCTGCTGAACGCAATGCAAAGAACTGGGGCCGCTGTTGTCCTCAACAGGAGATGACGTCAAAAGAAGTCTATCTTTCCGGAACTAGTGCTTGGCCAATGGTTCCCCCAGCCCTTTCTCTGCAGCTTTGCGACTCTTCCCAATCTGCACGCTGGCCACGACCGAAGTTTGTCGTGCCCAAAAGCAGAGATTATCCACAGCTCTGACTCAAAGTGCCTCATCGAAATCTACCCTTTTCCCCGCAGGTGTGCGACTTCGGGCAGTCCCGCCTGCTGAACACGACGTCGGGCAACAAGCCGCTGTCCACGCTGCGCGCGGCGGGCACCGTGTCGTACATGGCGCCGGAGGCGTTCAAGGACCCGTCGCTCGTGGACGAAAAGGGTGACGTGTACAGCTTCGGGGTGATCCTGTGGGAGCTCGCCACGCGGCGGGTCCCCTGGACGGTGAGATTCCTCTTACCAGCTTGTGTGTCAAAGTCCTTGAAAGTTTTTACACTTACGGTAGTCAATCTTACAGGGCTTTCGCCAGAGGACGCGTGAGGGTGTGCCGTCCGAGCTTTATCACTGGCCCTTGGTTGTCAATGAAAGCAGCATGTGCTTGCTGCAGAGCACGAGAAATCTGGGCGTCCACGAACGGGTCAAAGTGGCTTGGAAGCCGGTCGTTCAGCAAGCACAAAGTCCGTCCACTTTCTTGAGGGGCATTGAAGGTGCGAGGAGTTGTATTGTTTGGCATTTGCGTGGTTTCAACCTTCGTTTGACGCTCAACGTTATTGCTTTCCAGGGTGTCCACGAACCGCAGATCATCACGTCGGTCGCGGCCGGCATCCGGTTATCAATCCCTGTGGACGAATGGGATCCCCGGTTGGTGCAACTGGTCAAAGACTGCTGGAAGCAGGAGCCGTCAGAGCGGCCGTCTTTTGAGCACATCATGGTCGTGCTCGAGCAGATCCTAGAGTCGGTACAAGAGTAAAGCAGGCCTGCCGAAGGTGTAAAGGCGTTTTCACGAGCTTAATACGATGCCGTAGACTTTAGCTACGTTCACGCCTTGTGCCCATTTTTTGAAGGGCACGAATGCGGGCCTAGGGGTTTACGGCCCATGCGCAAGGCGATCAACGCTGGACATTTCAGCAGTGAATGTAGGAACTGACACTAGCCTAGTAGCCGGTAGGTTGCAACGACACTAGCGTTGAGCTGTATTATAGATTGGCCCGGAGCACGCTCGAGAAAAACGTACCTGAAAAGAAGAGCTGGCATCAGTGCGCATTGCCTTAAAAACCAACTATAAACTTGGAGGATCGATGCCTGTTGCCAGCCAGTCTCATTGGACTATTTTCTGCCGCCGCATTTCAGGTTCAACCAACTGCACATGCGCACTGGCAACGATCGAACAGTGAAACATGAGATTTACATGGACATTCGACTAGCTGCATTGAACCCGGACTCCGGATTCAATCATCATTGCATCCGGGAATGAGTGCATGGATCGGATATGAGCGGTCGGATATGACGTACTCAGATCTTGGATATGATCGTGGATAATATTCGATCGTTAACTTAAGCTAGCTAGACATGTTGCGGAACCGCTTAGTAGTCACTGCAGGTTCGGGTTCGTTCAAGTTCCGGCCTTATATAATAGCCTTAGTATATAGCGCTATATCATTGCGCAATCACATATTATATGGAGCTATAGGCAAGTACCGTCGTACGCGTGCAACTTAATGATTGCATCCATTGCAATTTCACAGCTTGGCATGATGTACGTACATATATATTTGTGGCATATGTGCATGTGCAATGATGTATACGTCGGAATTCGAAGTCATGTGCACCCTTGCGCCGAGATTCGATATGGTTTCTGTCGGAGTCACTGTGCACGACTCACCGCGTCGAGATTAATTCGATGGTTTCTTTCGGTATAGCCCAGAGGGCAAAGAGATAGTGTACATGCGATCGATGATTGCACTCAGTCCGGCCGCTGCCAGGCACCATTTTGGCACCCGTGGCATGAGTCCGACCAAATGATGTCCAATTGCATGAGTCATTATGCATATAGCACTGACAGTCGGAGTATTCTTCCCAGTGTAGCTTATAGGGCACGTGCATGATCATTCGGATCGGACCAATGGACTTATTGCGCTCTTCTGAGAGATTTTATAAAGATCCTGATAAGAATCGAGGTATAAGCTGGATACGAAACTAGTTGTCAAAGGGCCGGGCTATCTCGCCAGTGTTGATTTGAAAGTAGCTTATTACACCTCCCACACTTGAGGCTGAACGCTTACTTGCTATGTAGCTGCAAAACAGACCTGAACCTCAAAATAGGCCTTGAATCAGTTACGGTCAACATAAGCAGTAGCTACGTGAAATATTCCGAGCGACAATTGCCCGAAGATTACCTCAACGACTGTTTTCTCCTCAATCAGGCCAGTATTCTTCAATGTTACTCTCGATTATTACTTACACTCAATAGTTGAAGTTGATTGCAACTTCGTCGCTGGTGAAAAAGAGGAGTTGTCGCTCCGCGGGGGCCACTTTTGTGCTCTCCATCATATGTACAGTGCTCCAAGTCGGATACAGCGCGGGGGACGGCGCAGCTGCGGGCTTGTAGTCGCCACGCTCAATCTTCCAGTAGACCTTCCCGTCGGGAGTGGTCGCCTCGAAGCGCCGCTTGTGCGCGTTCGCCCCACTCAGCAGGTGCGTGATGTCCTCCAGAATGCACCTGAGGTGTAAGTGTGGCGGTTGGGCAACTTCAGTCTGTGTTTTGACATTCTTCCAGCATTCCTGGTCTTCTCGCCGTGGCCTGAAGAAGTTTGCCTCCGCGATTAACAGTCTGATTTTCTTAGCAACCTTTGCTTGTAAAATTTACAGTTCCCAATGTACCACCGACCATTTCATACAAGCGACGGCACGTTAGGGCTCAAGGCAAGCAGAACAGATCTTTTGAAACCGGAGCAGGCGACTGCACCCATCTTTGCACAAGGCGGACTTTTCGGATGGGCGGGTCTGAACGCCCAAAGGACGGGCATGTGTCATCCCTTTTACCAACAAGCAAGGTTTAATCGATTCAAACAAAAACTGCAACAACCTGGATTTGCACCTGGCTAATCGCCTTTGCGCCCAGTATTGTAAACCCTAGCAATACTGAAAGTATCCAAGAAGACATAGGAACAATGACTCACCAACTGCAGAACGTTTAGACCAAAAATGATCGTTTACTTACAGGCTGACGCAGTCCTCACCTGTGGAACAAGTAGTGGTGCCCCATGTTCCTGGACCCGATGCTGACCTCCGTCGCATCGATCGTTTCGTACCCTTCCTCCACCAGCAGAACCGCGCCGACCCGCCGCCCCAGGTCGTTCTTCCCCGGGTCCCCAAACGCAACCATGCGCGCGAGCCCGCGCGCCCACGGCTTGGTCGTCGCGAGCCCCGCCAGCTTCAGAGCCCAATCGCTCTGTGACGTGTACAGGCTGAAGCGCGGGCCCGTCGCGCTGACGTCGTCTTCGGACGCGCTGACGTCATCGAAGGACGCGGGCGGCGAGGGTCTTGACGTGGACACGTTTCGTTCTGCGGTTGGCCGGTGCAGGAAGCGCCACTCGAGGCTGCCAGGGGCCAGGACCGGGGCCGAGCTGGACAGGTGAAGGGCCATGGCGGGGAGCGACTTTCTCCGCCACAGGGCCTTTTCCCCCGGCTTGCCAGCTGTCGCGACGCCCGCACCAGCTGTCACTTCGGGGCTCACGCCGGCTGTCACACCGCTCGTGCCCTCTTCCACGCCAACTTCTCCCGACAATGTAACTCTATCGCCGCCAGCTGTCAAATGCCGGTCGCCAGCTGTCGACAGGGATTCCTCTCCGCAGATCGGCGCACCGTTCTGAGTGGGATCGTTGAAGCTGCTGTGACTGCTGCCAAGGTCGGCGAGCGAGGGCGTTCGGGAAGGGGCGCGGCTGGAGGCCCTGCTGGAGGCGTCGCTGCTGCGGTCGCTGTAGCCGTCCAGGGCGGCGGCGTGCAAGTGCTCCCACAACAGGGCCTGCTGGAGCTCCTCGCCGACCAAGTCCGTCGAGGAGGAGGACCTGCGGGGCGGAACGGCGGAATAAGAAAAAGGAGCGGAGCGGCAATACGGGGACGCTACAAATAAATAAAATAGTATGAGGAGCTACAGTAAAGACGGACTGACGCGATGAAACATCACAACGAAACGACGTGCAAAACGAGCTTAACAAGGGGAAGGAAGAGATCAAAACGACAAGAGGAGGCGGCGAATGATTGCAAGCAGGCGACAGACTACAAATTGCGAACGGACGGGCAGAGTTGGCAAGCTGCGCAGGACGAGGGATATGAAAAGGTCATGATCCAAGTAACGAAGTAGTACAACGGCAGAAAACTACATTGGCAAGGAGAAATAAAGAAAAGCAATGCGAACTCGAACGCAGACAAAATGGTATATGCGACGAATCATGGATTCAAGGGAGAAACAAAGGAAGACCGCAATAGAACACTCGTCCCAAAAAGAAGGCAGAGAGCGACACTAAAGCGGAGACAATTTTACTAGTTGGCCTCAAGAAGCATATTACCCTTGGAAGCAGCCCATGTCCCGCTGTTTTGTGTGGTTCACCCAGCTGATGAGAACCCTTAAAAAGAAGAAATCTCGCTTTCTTGAGAGGTTACCTGGAGGGGGTGCGGCTCGACGTTGAGCTGGCAGAAGGCGAACTAGGGCGGAAGCTTCCTTGGAACGACCTCGGATAGCCAGGGAAGGCCCTCTCGCTCACTCCAGGGGAGATAACGTCAGCAGCCGGCGGGAAGACATCATCAGAGGGAGGGATGACGTCAGCGGACGGCGATCTGGGCGGGGCATCGGCTCCCGCCGGGTAGATGACTGGGGTGGACTGCGTTCTCGGAAGAAGGAGGGCGGGAGTCTCGGAGGCAGTCTCGTGGGGAAGGCTTTGACTAAGGTCCGTTGTCAAATTACCGACGGGTTTGACGAAGTTCCGTGGGTTCAGATCGAGCGCCTTGCCCGAGAAGATGGTAGTCAGGCGACTCGGCGAGACCATGAGCACATTCTCTGCGCCGTCTCCCACGGGCTTCCCTGGAATGTCTTCCTCTTGTTCGCATTCCGCGCCTTTGCCGGATTCGGGTCCATCGCTGCCCAGAACGTTTTGCCAGCCGGAAAAGCGGGGGGTGACCGAGACGCTCGTACTCGTAAGCGCGAGGTGTAGCGCAGGCGGCACGCATCGCTCGTTCGCATGGTTATCGTCGCCCTGAAGCACGGCGGGTGAACTCATGAGACGCGGGATCTCCGCCGACAATCCCGCAACTTTCGCAGCGATGATGACGTCATCCGGCCGTGCGCCCCCCCGCTTTGCCGCCTCTTCCACTGCCTGCGGCCCGTCTGCCTCTAGATCCGTCCTAACCCGCTCCTTGACCTCCTCGGAGGCCCCCTGGGTTCGGCCGCTAACCCGGTTCCGCAAACTCTGGGTCCACCGTCGCGCAGTGTGACGAAACCTCTCGACTTCTTCGTCGGGCGCCATGAATATCAGATGCCCCAGCTTGGCGCGCAACGCCTCCCACTCCTTAACCCGCTCCTCGCTAAACCCCTCCTTAACCTTCGCAGTCGTTAGCCCCAAACCCCGTTCCTCTGCCCGCCCCGAACTCGTCACTGCCCCCCGACTTCTGGGCGACTCTTCATCGCCGGCGTCTCCAGTCAGCGGCAAACCCTCACCATAACCAGCCTCTCGATGCTGCCCGTAACCCAAGTCTCCGCTGGGGTTTATGTCAGGCCCGTCGTTCAGGTTTAGCGGTGCGCCCCGCAGGGACGCGGCCTTCTCTTTGAGGAGGTCACGTTCTCTCGCGAGGATGTTGCCAAGCTCCCGCACCCCGACTTTCATTCCGGCGGCCGCTTCTTCGCCACTGAAAGCAGAGGACGTTACCCGTCAGATTTGCAGGCACTTTGCAAGAGTAGCTCATTGCCTTTCGTGGACGTGTAGAGTGCCTGATGAGTCACGTTATCCCCAGATCGACGATGCTTCGAGGTCGTTCGAAACAATACGTCAGCGTCAACTGAATAGAAAACGCCGATTCATCGCAGCGTCGGCGAAAAGTCTACACAATCAGAGGATATTGCACCGGATCTTGCATAGACGACATACTTGTTCGCTTCGACTTCGAACCCTCCCCTTTCTCTGGAGAAGAAGAGACAGGTGGCGCAAACAAACAAATGACTGATATAAGAAAGGCTGAGATTCAAAAGAAAAGGATTGAGAGCCAGCTGGAAGCATGGGGCGTGGAACCGAAGCGCCCCCACGTAATCACCAGCGCGGCCGTCAGCTTTTTCCTGTCCTTTTCTAGCTTCTCGTTGAAGTTACCCTTTTTACGGCAAGCGTTCTTAGTGTTCACACCCCAGACTCCTTCAACCCTCAGACCTCAAACCTCAGAACCCAAAACCCTGCAATGTAAGACAGTCGCACCTGGCGAGTAGCCCGGCAGCTTGTGCTGCAACGCGGCCCAGAGGCCGATGCCGCCCTTCGTCACCTCTTTCGTCGAAAAGCTTCAGTTCTCAAATGCTCACAGTCCGCGTCCAGGAAACCTCAAGTACTAAGAGCATACGCACCAGGTGACGACGCTCCGCAGCTTGTCCTGCAGCGTCACCCGGTGTTCGCTGTCTTTCTCCGCAGCTCCTCGCCGAGAATCTACATTCCTGAGAAGCTTATCCGAAAGTCCCTGAAAGTCAGAAGCAAAGTTCAAGAATGTTTTACACAGACGCACCGGGTGACGACGCTCCGCAGCTTGTCCTGCAGGGCGGCCTTCAGGTGGCTGCCGTCCTTTTTGAGCTTATCATCGAGCGCGAGCACTTCTTCCTCGAGCAGGTCCAGTGCGCCCACCACCGCGCGCGCGCCCATGCTGTAGCTCAGCACGTGCACCTTGGCCTCGAACTCCGTCAGCAACATGTGCAGAAACTCCTGGAAAAAGTGCAAACGAGTAAAGTGAGTGAAAGGGAGAGTTCAGAGTGGAACGAAAGATTTCGAAGGAGAAAAGATAGCCCACGAAAGTGGACGGCCAGGCTGTAGCTCAGCACCTGCACTTTGGCCTCGAAGTCGGTCAGCGGCATGTGCAGAAACTCCTTACAAAGTGCGAAAAAGTGAAGTAGTGAAACAAAGAGTTTAAAAGAAACCAAACAGACTCTGATAGGAGAAAGACAGCCCAAGAAAGTGTGCGCTCATGCTGTAGCTCAGCATGAGGGCATTGACCTCGAGCTCGGTCAGCATGTGTAGAAACTCCTCGAAAGGTGCAAGAAAGTGGAGTAAGTGAAAGTTACGATTTCAAGAGAAATACTCCTGATTTTTTCCGGGAAAGGACACGCCACGAGTGGGACGTGATAGTTTAGCTCAGCACTGAGCCCTTGCCTCGAAATCGGTCAGCAGCATGTGAGAGTCCTGGGGAAGATGCAAGTGAAGTGAAACATACTGAACTTTTGAACCAAACGTTGTGATCATTTATACGACTCATGACGTCTATCTGAGTCGGAACATACTGCAATTCCGGGGAAAACCATCGAGAACCGTCTACACCGGTCACGACGTCACAACTAAAGAAGAATTTCAAGATACTACAGTGTTGACATCGCGGCCAAACCTCTGACTCCTGAAGCAGCATTGGCTGCTTGCTAGGAAATTAAAATCAATGGGTAACAACAAATGTAACTATAATAAGGGCAAACAGCTTACAGTGTTGAATTGGAGCTCCGACAAAGGTACGCCCGCTTTATCAAAAGGTGGAAGCGGTTGAACGTCAAGTCTCACCTTGAGTTGCGGGACGGTCCATTTGACGCACTTTTCGTCCTTGGCATACGGCCGGCTCTGGACCTTGTGTCCGATTGACGGCCAGCTGAACACCACCATGGGGCCCGAGAAGTTACACCCGTGCTGCAGCGAAGGACAGAGAGCGGTGTGAACAGGCGCAAAATGTCAAAAACTAGACCGTAAGCTCGCCGCTAGGATTTATGGTAGGTGGTAGTCAAAACAAGGAATCTTGCTGCATCTTTCAGCTTTGCAGCGAACGTCGACGAGCTCCGATACCTGCATTCAAATTCAGATGCTCGTTGTCTTCGAGCTCATGTTGCTCAGAGTAAAGCGGCACAGAACCAACGCCTGGATAAACGACGACACGAAACGCCCTCTAGAAAATTTTACGATTAAGCCGTTAAGCCGAACGGGGTTCGATTATGCGAGCTTGCCTCGACAGATTTCAATCTTTCTGCCCGACAAGACTGCCTAGCGCCAGTCTCAAGGCCAACCCAACCTTTGCCTCGAGTCGACAATTGGACGAACAAATGTTGCCTGCGGACAGTTTCAAGAAACGCTGAGCCTGATGCAGAGGTGACGACCAGTACAACAGACATACATCAGTGGTCCTTTCCAGCATTAAGCCCTGACCAATTATAGTGAAGGTGGCCCAAAGGAAGGTGGTACTTACCTTGACGAGCCCTCCGTACTCCAGGCCTCTGGGAAAGTCAGTGAAGCACCTGGAAAAGGAGGGAACACAGGGGCATTAGAACCGCAGGGTCACCGTTTCTGCTGGCGTTGGCGCAGAGAGTGCATATTTATTTCAAATGATGGTGTCAAGCTATTCCGACAACATTCTAATTCAGCTTGCTGTCCTCTGCCCGTGCTCAGAGTGATGCTTTGTACTTAGAACCTTAAAGAGAGCCTGAGTAAAGGATCAATCCGAACGTCGACTTCGATCACGTCCCTAAGTAGTTTTCAATCTTACAATTGTCAAAATGATGTCCCTAGAACAAGGATCCTGAAAAGGAAAATACAAACAAATTGCCTGACGACTCATTCCCCCCTGTTTTCCGACCAACACACTTCTTCAACCCTCTCCTTTTCAATTTCGAACCGACTGTCAGATCCTCAAACCTCGCGACGCAATCATTATCAAAGCGCCAATAAGCACTCCCCAACAAAGTGACTCCTCTACCACTCACCCATGCACAAACACAATGATCGACTTCTTGACATCCCCGTTCAGCGCCTCCCGCAGTTTCTTCTTCCACTCCGCCTCATCTTTACACGGGGCAATCTCCTCCAGCCGTCTTGCGTCTCGCTCGTCCTGCAGGTTCGATAGCTTGAACGCGTCCTCTCTGATCCTAACCCGCCCTAACCCTAGGTTCAACCCGGGCGAGGTCTTGCCGACCTGGCCGAAGAACTTGCGGGGGTGTCGTTGGCGCTCGGCAGCGGAAAGGGGCTCCCGGTTGGTGGCATAAAAAATTGGGACCTGCGGGTGAAACGATATCCTCACGCTTGAGCAATCAAGGCGGTTAGAGAATCAAAACAAGCTTGAGCGAGGCACACTGCAGACCCAAGGCTACGCGAAGTCGATATGGGGATTCCGGTCCGCGACCGACCCGGATTTTGGATTTTTTTAAAAAAGTGACATAAAATTCGTTGAAATCTGCTCGGATACACAGCGCTCCCTTTTGACTCATATTGCTTCAGGATTCCAAGATGTGCTGAGAGAACCTTGACCTTTTTAGCGAAGTTGATCCCCGCGCTATGCACCTGGGTGTGCACGCGTTCATTAATACGAAGTGACCATCCCCGCTTGTCACCAAACCACTGGCTCCAATACCGGATTCAGCATTTCTCTGCATTTATTTCATAAAATGGATATTATACTGCTAATAAGGGCCAATATTTTTATTTATTGTTTTCTGCCGACCGACCGACCCACCTCCGAAGGGGGTGGACCGGAATCCCCATATCGACCAACTTCGCGTAGCCCAATCGTAATATGGTTTGAATCCAACAATAAATGGGCCCCCGCTTCAGTATCAGAAGATCGTGGATCTGCAGCTTGCTTGTGCAACGACCTAGATCAGTTCGGTACTTACAATCAGATACAACAGAAAAGACTCTGACTCTGAGCAGTACTCTATGAGCTAGGCCCTACATCCTCGGAATTCGAAAGGCACGACCAGCATTTAATGCACGAAGAGTCGTAAATGCGAAGACAGCGACACAAATTGACAAACAGGAACCCCAGATCAGACAGGCAGAAACATATTGGGCCTTACTTGGATGTCATTCGGGTTCTTCTTGTTCCTCCTCATTATTTCGCCGGCAGGCGTTGAGAGCGAGGAAGCAGGAGTCAACCGGTGCGAGCGCAGCTCTTCGGCGGTGAGCGCATCAGCTGAGTACTGGAGGTCCCAGTCGGCCTGGGGGGCAAACCTGGGGGCAAAAAATAGGTGTGAAGAAGCGCTAAGTGACATGAACGACTAAGCAACTTGGGATTGGAGGGGACATCGGAGAACCCGAAATGCGGGGGGGCAAAGCTGGGGGCAAAAGGACACGCTTATAGAGTGGGCGGAAAGTAGGCCTAAGCACAGAGGATTGGATATGGGATTGGAAACCCAAGTTGGTCGGGAAGCAAACCTGGGGTTAAAAGCGAATGAAAGAAGTGCCAAGTTAAAGCAAGGGCTGAGCGCTTGCGAAGGGGGGAGATTTTGAGGCCTTAACGGCTGGGGGCGAATTGGGGGTTGAATGAAGATTGTTGCGTGATCACAGTGACTGGCGAACCTGATGGCAACTAAGATGTACTGGCTTGGTCCTGAATGTTTGGGGAGATGAGCATTGGAAGGTCCAGAAACCTGGTTGAAAGCCTCCTTGAGACTTTTCACGAGCGTGCTCGTACATTCTCTGCTTCAGCTTGACGGATGCAACAGAGGGGCCATAACGTAAAATCAAGTCCCGCTTGTAAGACTTGGAGTACTTCGACTCTACTTGGAATGCTTGACCAAGCAACAAGTTCCAGACCTTGACATCGTTCGGAGCGGTTCAGGCAGTGCACACGATTCTACCGTGGCAGTCCAACAATAAGGCCATGGCTACGCAGAATGTAGACCCTGTATTGGTCAACAGTGCGTCCTTCAAAAGTAACAAAAACGAGAGCGGATAATAGCCTCAGGAACAGACTTCGAGGACGAAACCAACACACAGCTTCTTGTCATTTCAGCAACAGGAAAGCAACAAGATGAAACGAATTTTTCATTTCAGAAACATTGACAGATAGGCTTCTACTATTGACCTATGCAAAGGGCCCTGACAAATAAGGAAGCCTCTCTCCGATCAGTGGGAACCATCTCATAACTAGCCTTCAACGCAACTCATTGTAAGAGGGTGAGGTCAGATTCTTAGAGCTTCAAAAAGGACGCCAGCAGGGCAAAACGGCATCCAACGGTACACTCCACCAGATTCCTATATAGCCTGTATATCCAGAATGCGAGTTGCTGAGGTCATTGCATATAAGGACTTGCTTAACTTTTGCTAGGTCAAAAAAGGGTGATTGTCCAGGACACGTAAGATTATCTTTCCAAGCAGAAAGAAAGTGTCAGTAACTTGAATGGGGCGGAGCTACACGCTAGAGAAACAAGAAATTATTTCAAGGAAAGAAGTTAACCGTCATTTTGGAGAAACTATTCAAGCGTTGAGACGAAGGGATGCACCGGCTACCTTACCAGCTGCTACTCCATTCCAAGCATCAGGGGTCAACGAGTGATATACGCTTGATTTTCAGGTTTTTGGCAAGTAGATGTCGGGCTTGTCCAATCAGACCCCTGGACTTTAGCATTTGACACAAGACCTCTCAACACAGCTCACCATCAGAGATGGGAGCCTACAACTCCCTCATCAAAGATAGAAAGATGATTGACTCTTGTCCACTAATCAAACTCGTAGCCATTCAGCAGGCTGGGGACTAATATCAGAAAGACGTGACATCTACAATGATCACAAGATTGAATGACCAGAAAGCGTAGGTCTTCCTCACATGTCATAGAAAGACTGACATGAAGAAAGTAACAGAACGAGAAGGTTTTTATTGGCTGTGCTCTCTCGTCAGCCACAAGGAGAGAGAACTCACTTGGTGGCTCCAACTGCTGACACACACGAGAAGACGAGACGTGCTCCTTTGGGTCCAAAAATGCCCATTGTGCGGAGAAGCGTTCTCCAAGTCCTCGTTCCTCAAAATCTTGCCATGTGCCAGAGAAAGCCCGCTGTCACTCCCTTTTGGTCAGTTCAGTTGAGCATCAGAGCCTAGCTGATGACCTTGACCACTTCAAAGTACTCTGTTCTTTGTAAAAGCACATGGCAGAGTCAGCGTAGGGATACTTAACATGAGTCCGCAAGTGCCAAGGAGCCCTCAACCTTACGAGAGTCACTAAAGGTCAACGTGCAACGATCAACTGTCTGTCATGATGGTGATTAAACTAAGAGGACAAATGAAAGTTGATTTCCCGTCAAATCAGTGCAGTCCTCCAGTAGTTCCTATCAGCAGCAGGGCCCATCAGCGGTGTGTGATTCAGGGAAGTTGAGACCTGTGCCTGTCCTTCATAACCAGTCAGTGCCCCACACAATGCATTGAGTGGAACCACTCAGCGAGTAGACCAACTGAACTCTACTCCTCTCCTATGGTGACAGTGGTCTAACATCAATGTCCAGCATTCGTGTATCTCATTGAAGGAGAGTGCATCTGCCCTCTGCCAGTAGCAATTGACTTCAGCTTCATTAGAAGTCAAACCCGGATATCACAAATTTTAGTCAAACCCTTCCTGGGTCATTGCTGCTGCACGAGAAATGCACGGCAGCATGAGGCGGCAGCGCTACTCCCTCTGCTGAGCCGGTGTAAACGCTGTGCAACTTCAAAGCAGCCAAGCAGGGCAGGGCAGATAGGCACTGCTGGCAGCCATGAGCAGCCGTGAGCTCAGCACGGCTGGTCGCCCCTTCGGGGAAGACGGCTGCAGAGGTGGTGTAGTGACGCCTGCACTGCGCCGAGGCGAATCTCGCAAAGCACCTCGGCGACCACTCATATTCCTCGATACTGCCCACGTGTCGTGTCGCGGCAGGGTCACGTGATTCACATGGCAGTTGCGACACGGTTAACACCCGGTTGGAAGCAGTCTGACCCAGGTTTGACCACTGATATTTGCGGGCCTTTCTACATGGGTACTTTTCAATCCGTCTCTCTAGAGTGTATTGTACTGTCTGCTTTTCGGCTGCATCCGGCGGAGAATCGAGCAGATTCCAGCTGGGTACAACGAAAAGAGATGGTTCCGATAGAAAATAAGTTACGGTATGCGACTTCAAACCTCGCCGGCACCAAACTTGAAAACCCTAGAATCTGAGCCGGAACCCTAAAACAGGTTAAAACCCTAATACCGTACTACCAATACTTTTCTAAAGTCAAGATTCTGAAATTTAAAAGCTTCGGAAGTTGAAAAGTTTGAGATTGTGCAGAATGCTGTGCACATTTCAAATTTCAGCAGAGATTGCAGGCGTGACGTGAGCTAGAAAATGGCGCAAGCGGCGCTTTCTAGAGCGGGTTCCCAATGGCTGCTTGGCAATGCATGCTCCTCTGCGCAAGGAAAGTTCAGGAACCCAACCGCAGAGCAGTATGTCCATTCCTTGTCGTGCGCTTTTAAACTCACAAATACGCCTAGCTGCAGTGCACAAGCAAGGTTACAAAGCAGTGCAGGCATGCGAGCAAGGGGGCGTGCAAATGTGAATGATGTGCAAACCAGATGGGGAAGAGCGAATGCAGGGGGGGTATTCAGAAGGTGAGGGTTTCAGTGGGATGCATGGCGTTTGAATGTAGGTCAGGTGATGTGATCGAGGGCTCTGTTTCCGTGACTTGGGGTGTAGGGTGGTGCAAAGTGGTGGTAAGCGCAGAATGAACCACTTTCTTTACATCAAGTGTCTGCTTCATTCTTGCCTTTTTATGAAAGGTGCAATTGGAGGTATTTTTACTTTCAAGGAACAATTGCGATTAGTGCAATGCTGTCAAGAATGGTAGGGCTTTGTTACTTGCAAGATTCTGTTTACCTTGGTGGCAATACTTTGTCACCTATGTATTCAACGACTTGACAAAGCCAGTCTTCTGAGACCCGCGCAAATGGTGCATGACTGTGCAGTTGAGGCAATCACTAGTTTGAACGCAACAAGATTCGTTTGAAACCAAAAATCATGTTTCCGAGAAGGTGGCTCGTTGTGCATGCTCAAAAAGCATGCTTGACAATCACCCAATCATTGTGCAGACCCGAATCGTACGCAACCATGTTTTTAAACTCAAACAGAAGTAGCGCAGATTCTTATTTTGTCCGCCTGTTTATAGCTTACCTCTCTTCCATCATGACTTTGTTGGTTAACTCCACTGCATCGGGGTCTCTCTGTACTGCATTACATCAAGAGAGGCATGCATAGTCTGTCACAAGACGTAGGGTGAAAAGAGCTCGCTATTTTGTGCTCTCAACTGCTCATGTAACTAAGCTCCTTGCGAGTCCCATACTTATAGAGCACTTTTGAGCAGAGTGGTGAATGCAGTCAATCTCCATTTAAAAGTTGGGTTAATGTACTAACTAGCATCTTCCCTCTTCAGGCACATGTGCAGAGCGAGCGTTGGCGAGGCAGGCGCCGAGCTGAGCGAACTAGAGAAGGTACAAAAGTTGGACAAATTGATTGACAAGCTGCGGGAGGCTAGCGATAGGGAGGTGAGATGCGCTGACGGGCTTCTTTTTTTCCAATATAGAAGCTGACGATGGAGATCTTTTTGCAAGGTAAAGAACTGGAAGACACCGTAACTTTTTACAAACTGGTGACAGGCAGGCAAAGTCGTAATATTCGTTTTAGGCGCTCGAGTCACAGGAGAGGTGATGTCAGTCGTTTTTCCTGTTGCTGTGTTGCCAAAGCGACGACCTGCGAATGACATCCAAAAGCTCCTTATCCAAAGCTCCTTGCTTTCATCCGAAAGCCAAAGTTTCGGAGGCTTGCTTTCATCACGTCTTTCTGTTGTTTCAACAATCACTCCCAATGCTGACAAACGAATGTCCCAAGTGTTTTTCCTTCAATTCCATGAAAATTTCAGCACCAGAAATCTATTGGTATTGAGAGTCCTGGAGCGAGTAATCGGTGCTTAACCATGCATCTCCCTCCCCCTCTGCAGCTGCCGCAGATAGTCGCCCAAAACGTGATGGAACTGGACCAGGTGTTTTGGCTACGGATGGCGACCAGGTCGGACGTGTGCAAGTCGGAAGATGATAAGGTGAAGCACGCTTTGCTTCCTTTTGTCGGCCTTAAGGACCTTGAGGTCTGAAATGAGTAAGCGTTTCACGACATGAATCGGACCCGATTGGCTCTGTTTCTTTCTGACGTTCTGATCGTTTGAGCCTCTGATCTCAAAACAATCGGAAATATCTGCGAGCTTGGAGTCGAGTTCGAGAAGTTCTATGTTTTATCACACGTCACAAGAGCTCCGCAGTAGTAATTCCGCTATTTATCAGTGTGATCGTCAGGAAAGCGCAAGCTGCTTTTGTCCAGGACTTCTGCTATGCCTTGTCTTCTCATTGAGAAACCTGGCCACAATTCCACGTATCGACGCGATTCTGAGAAAGAGAAGTCTAGTGCAACCCTATGAGTCCGCAACCAGTTCGAGTAACGCAACCACTTAGCAACCCAGAGTTTTCATCCATCAACCAGGAGGACTAGCAGATTTATCGCAGCGAGCATCTCGTGGACAGGATCGTGAAAGAAACGGGAGAAAAGATCGACGACACTTTGGGCTTGCTTGCAGCCGCTCTTATGCGATATGAATACTCACCACCTAGGAGGCCTGTTCGAAGCCTTAACCAAATTGGTCACCCAACCTCATGACTAACCCTTTTGTTCCCACCACTCACCAGGAGGACTACGTGGAGCTGTCCCAACGAGTGATGTCTCTCGTTGACAAGATCGTGAGGAAAACGACAGAGAAGATCGACGACAACGCGGGCGTGCTCGAGATGGTGCTCGATGCGGCGGCGGAGCAGACGGGGGAGTGGCGGGTGCCGCTGTCAAAAGAACGAATCAACGCCATGAGAAAGGTGGGCAAGAAATGAGGCATAAGTCTAGTCCTGGGTGGACCCCGCTAGTTTAGATTGTATTTTGATACGGCTTTGAAAGGACGTTTTCTTGGCAGCTCCCACGTATCGAATCGAGCGCCCTTGTCTGTTTATCAAAGAAATCATGCTGCGACATGATAAAACCAGAAACGGACACAATGCATCTGAATCATAACGACATTTCCGACCAACGATTCCACTTGTCCGTCTCACAGGTGATGGATCAGCGGCAAGAATACCTGGACGAGACGTTCTTGGCCAGCGTCTTCGCTTACACTAGAAAGGTAAGGCTTTAACTTCTTCTCAAGCAGAGCATAATCGCTCAGCAGATTCGGACAGTCGCCTCGCCACAGTTCTGCAAGCGCATGTCTGCTCCGCCACTTCTTGGGCCTTGCTGATCGGTCAAGGAGACCCCGGAAGGACACAGAAAATCCTGAGTGAGCACCTTATTGAAAGTGGGAGAAGAAGATACACGGGTCACACATAACCGATGCAACAAGGGCGTCAGAGTTGCAGCGGATGGTAGTCTTGTGCTTGCTTAAGCAGATCATGAAGGGCTTCTAAGCGCTCGTTTTACCTGACGACAGGCGATTGTGAGCTCTCGCTTGTCGGCGTCCCTGGCCAGTCCCATAGATACGCGAGCTCTACTTTCTGCGGCTAGTTAGAGAGAAAGGAAGCGGCTTCTCTTTGGATGTCTCGTCTGCTTAAACAGAGAATTTTGACAGAAGCCATAACAATGACACCTCATTGCTGTAGAGAGGTGTTCGTAAAGTCACTGATTCACTGTACCTGTTGCTGGTCGAGACTTAAAGTATGGTCTTGATGCTGGTGTGCAAAGCTCGTTTAAAGAGTCGCAGGGGCGCCTCATCGCCGTAGAGCGTTGTGCTGACAGTCGCTTTTTTCGTCAATATCATACCTCTTGCAGGTCGAAGAGGAGAGTGTGGGCCCGATACGGGTGTCCGAGGCTCGCGACAACGACACTTTGCCGTGGTAATGCTGTGTTGCTGAAAGTCTCTTTTCACTTGTACTCTTGCAGGTCGAAAAGGAAACATGGGGTCGATGTTAATGTGCGAGGCTCGCGGGAAAAGTCGCAACAATGACCGTTTGGTAACGTAAAGCTGTGTGCTGAATGTCTCTGATTTCCTACTTTTTGCAGGTCGAGAAGGAGAACATGGGGTCGATGCTGGCGGTCCTCCAGCGGGTGATGCAGCTGTGGGCCAGCTGGTACCTCACTAAACACCCCAAGGGCCGCCTCAACAAAGGTGGGGAATACCTCGGTGCTCAAGTTTTGACTGGGTACAAGTCCCATGTTATTAGCGAGTCACCACTGAGAACTCCGCAGAAACATCGAAACCTCGGTCTGAGATAAGGGCAACGGTCAGAGACGATTATGCAGTTTCAAGAGTAAGGCAGAAACGGTGAGGCACTAGGCGCAGACCGTTCGGGGTTTAACGAACTGAACCTTGTCGTCTGCCCCTTCGGAGACTCGCCTACTCGGACTGAGTTGCCATCTTCGCGCTCTGGGGCTGCGCAAAGGCCGGCAGCTTTCATATAGTCCACCAAGAGACGGCTGGTTGTCTGGTCTTCGTACGAAGCTTTGTATGGTACTCTCTATGTTTCTGTGTGTGTGCGCTGTGGCTTGGCTCCTTCTTTCGTCGCAAGTTTCAATCAAGTCAAAACCTGTTCTGACCTTTCTTGATGAAACTCGCTCGTGCACAGGTCGTTGTGGCCGCCATTGCCGTTCCTGTTCCTGTCTCACTTGAACCAAGGCTTTTGCCAAGCCTTCACCTCTCAAACAGTCGCTTCGTTCACGTTTGTGCAGATAAGAAGACTCCGGAAGAAGCCGTCCTCGAACGAGTTTTGAAAGGTATGTGGACCAACCAGACTCTGCCACGTTGGGCAGGTCGCCCCGGGCGCACCGTCTCTCATTTCTGACGGCAAGTTTACACTGATTCGGGTTGTCAGCTAAGCTGACGAGCAAGCTTTTTACTCCGATTTGTTGATATCTCTAGTGTTAGTTCGCTATCAGGCCGATAAGGAGGGTATGTGGACCTGCCGTCTTGAGAGTCTTGTGGTCGCCGTCTCAAGCTTTTATGCTGCGGCAAAGTTACAGCCATCCATATCAACTCACGCAAGCTGCTGTCCCCTTGACTCAACGCTTTGGAGTCCTGAGGGCTGAGGCATACTCGGCAAATATCGACCGGATTCCAACCAAGACTGCACAACACCTTCAGAAGCAGCTGATATCTTCTCTCTACCCTGTGTGACGACTGTCGATACAATATGCGACTCCTCGTTCTGTTGAAGCGACAGTAAAGATCTAGGGGCCGTCCTTGACAGCATCTTCTATGTCGAAAGTCAGGTCAGTCTGTCAGTTACATCACCTTTTCGTACTAACTGTTTTGCTTTTTGTTCTCATTGCAGCGGAGGTGGAGGACTGGGAGCCCATTTTGCGAGAGAACCTTGTGTTCCCGCAGAGCAAGCTGAACGAGGAAAAGTTCTTCAACACCATCCAAAGCAGGATGGAGCGCTCCATACTCTACATGGTGAGCCGTGACTTTGTCTCCGCGGCCCTTGCAGGTCTGACTTTGATCGATAGGGTCGGGGAAGGGTTCGATGATCTGTGCCGTGCTTCCAAATTTTTACGGTGGGTGGAGCTAGTGTCCTGGTTTTGCTACAGTTTGAGTTGTGGGTACTGAAATAAGGTTTGCAAGCTCGGGCGTATGCTTTTCGAGTATTGGGTTGGAGATTTCGTCCCGACTGGTGATTTAAACGTCTCAAGGCAAGCCTCTGCCGATTTGCTGGTGTTGGACTCGATCTGGCTCAAGGTATTTCCCAAACCGGCTTGCTCACATTTTTGCGTACTAGACCGTTTTGATCGCATTTATGCGTTCCTCTTAGACCAATCAGTTGCGCAGTCAGTCGCGCAGGACTGCCTGGAGTGTATTCCCCACAGATTTGATATTGTGACGATTGCAAGCGAAATGGGAAACGCCACTGGTCTGGAAGGCTGCTGAAATCGTTGTTAAGGCTATCGTTGCTCTCGGCACGCTTTTTTGCAAGCAACGTCGCGTCTTGATCCCCTTTCCCTTGGCCTTCTTTCAGGAGAACGGGTCTTATAGTCAACGAGTAGTAGCAGAGTACCTTAGAGAGATCCAAACTAGGTCGCAAAATATACTGGAAGCCTCGCGAGCCCCGCCACCGGAAGTTAGAATCAACTTCGAAAAGTCTGAGCAGTCAGGTAGTCAATAGCGCTGAGCAAGCTGAACCCGTTTACGACCTACAAACAGGAGGGGAGTTGAAAAGTGCCAGTTTCGTTGGAAGCAAGCCTACGAGTCTCCGTGCCCTCCCACTGAAATGCCTTGCTTGGCTGATTCACCTGTGATATGCGGTCATGCTGCTGAATGCATTATATTGATTTTAACTTCCCCGATCTTCGCCATGCTGTTGCTTATGTTGAGCTGCAGAGTCCTTCCCTGTTGAATGGACTGATTCAGGGTTGTTCTTCATCCTTATGAGAGCGTGTCGTCAAAGCGGTGCAAAGGCTATGATGCGGGACGAGTACGAGCAACATCCGCTCACACAAATCCTCTCTTCGAGCCAGGACATGCTGCGTCCGCATCTTATGCGTGGTAATGGATTTTGCCTTCTGTGTCTTAAGGGGCTTTGTTCTCTCTCTTTGTTTGCCCGCCTCAATTCAACTCCGCCAACTGTTTTCAGCTGCTTTGTCTTCACTAGGTGCAGCTGATTGGTGTATGGTTAGTGTGACCAGGCAATATCACTTGTCTGTCACCTCAAGGACTTTCGGCCCAAGTTCCAAGGCAGCTCGGAAAAATGTTGCTGCTGGATCCAGCCTATCCTTCTGAAAGCTTGCTTGTGCCTGCTCAGGGAGGTGAAAATGCCCGTCAAAGGTTGGATCGTTTGGGCACGATGAGACCCGACTATCGATCAGATTTCCTCGTTTTCAACCATCTAGTTTGAGAAGCCAGTCGTAGCTACATACGCATCGTCGTTGCTTGCCGGATAGTGCCTTGTATCTGCGGGTATCGACCACGTACATATCTCAAATATTGCCCGTTTGTTTCCGAGGCAATATGCTGCAGAAGGAGCCTTTCTGAGTTGCTGCTCTGAGCCAATAGTCTGTGGTGAATTGTCTCGTCGACGGTCTCCAGATTAGTTTCCCGACATGATGCATGCACGACTCCCGCGAAGCTCACGGTCTCCGACCAGCCGTCTCGTTGAGCATCCACCACTTGGGTTCGCGTCCCAAGCCTTTCCCTTACCAGCAGCTGCATGCTGATTTGCAGTCGCTGAATCTCAATTTTCTTGGTTATAACGACTGATTTGCCGTACTGCGGGCTGGACGTTCGTGAGCGTGTATCCCGCTTTACAGAGTGTCGTGCAGTGCTTGGCAAGGAAGTGCACGGAACCGCGCCGTTCCAGCGCAGGATGTTGTCTTCGGTTTCTGAAGCCAAAAACAGCGAGTCGTGAAGCGGAATACAGAAGCAATCCTGTAGACCGCACTACTTCTAAGATGGCCAGCTCGACACATCTAGACTTCTGAGTCAATTATCAAAAAGGGTCGTTTTTGTCAAGATTGCTCGCTTTTGCAACGGCTTCCCATCACTTACTGCGGTGATGATTGCTTGGCGGGTGGGAACGTCAGCCTATTTGAACCTGCTTCTCTCGCGCTTGAAGGCGCCTCTAGATTGCCAGTGATCTTGTCGTCCGTAAATTCTTTGCGTCGTGCCTTTGTGGTGACTCCGGCGGCTGTATGGTTCATCGCGTGCATTCCGGAACGGATCACCAAGACGGACATCGTCTGGTGAGAGGTCCAGGATTCGTGGCGTCTGTTGTTTCTGAGCGAAGGCGACAGCGGTTCCCCACGAGATCGTGCTTCCAAGGATAGGAATGACGAGCACTTTCCGATAAGGTTCCTTCACCCGTCATGTGATTGACTTGCTTCTGCTTGACGGTCATCTGCATGCCTCGTATATTCGTCACGTTCGGCTCCTTCAACCCGTAGAAGGCAAGCAGCTATGACGTGTTTGATTCACGTGCAAAAGCAGACACCAGGGCGCTGTCGATTGCGAAGATTAGAGTCCGTGTCCATTGTGCTTTTCATCTTACCTGCAGCGTTTTGAAATTTTGACCATTATGTTAGCGAAACATCAAATCCAGTGACACTTTTGAGTCTCCCTGCTGACCACAAAGCGGCCAGTGGGCGGCGAGTTGGCACATCCATCTCCCGCCAAAACGGGGTTGAAAAGGATCCGAGTTTCCGAGGCTCTCAGAAGGGCCGAGCCTTACCCAAAAGATGTTTGCCAGCTAACGGGGTCAAGCGAGCTGCTTGTGGCCAGTGGCGACTTGTCAGTGGCCCTGCCTGCAAGTCGTTAAGCTAGTTAACGGGGTTACCAAAACTAAGGGTAACCCGTTGTGTGTCTGCGCTGCTCTTCCCGCATCAATGGGCAGGTTAACGGGGTTGACACAGGTGGTGTGGTTCTCTGTCAAGTCCAGATGGGAGCTATGCGGTCAGCAGCCGGAAACCAAAAGCAAACCCGGAGGCTCCTCCCTGCATGTTAGAGAGGCCGTCTCTCGGGCCGTGAAGATTCAAAAGGTAGCACGGCTGAGCTCTCAAGTTCAGCAGATTGTTTGTTCCGACTGCCAGTCCAAGCGACATGGACACAAGACCACGCTAACCCCTCTGGACGACAATAGTTTAGGCGTGGGTTGATCAAGTGAACCCAGGCCGCACGTTCGAAGGACAGCATTGAGTCAGCTTTTGCGAGCTTAAAGACATTCGGTCAGGATATCCTTCTTTTCCATCTCCAAATGCCTCCGTCTGAACAGTGCCTCACGTTCTCGAAGCCCGACGTGTGCCAAGACATTCGACCTTTTGAAACTTTTCTGACAATTACGCGTGCCACTACTAGTCGCACTCGTGAAAAGACGTCTGCTTGTTGATGCTAATGCAGGCGTCTGACGTTTCTTTTGCCGCAACGTCGAAGGGGCAAGATATTTGTCATTTCTCGCTGCACCGAATGGTCAATATGTGCCGTCAAAACTTGTGACTTCAGAACAAGGCCAGAAGTGACAGTGGATAGCGGATAGATACTTACTGTCAACAGTGATTGCTTAGTGGTGGACAAGACTTTGCCATAGGGTTTCACTGGCGGCTGGGAACAAGTCCACGGTTGCCTGGCCCGTGAGCGTGAACTTCCTCCACATGGAGCGAGACTATTTGTCAAATATCCGTTGACATCCTGGACTTGTTAAGGTCGTCTGAAACCTTTGTCGGTTTCGCTTGAAGGCCTGAAGGCCGGGCTTACAGCTGTGGAGTTGGTCGAGGCGGCAGCTCTGATGCTAGTGGATTCCAGTGGGCACCGGTGTGCTCAAGATGAACTCTGGTAGCCCGGCTGACGCTGTCACGGTTGTGCGTTGCTAGGTTTTTGTGACGACAAAGTCGCGCATCCTTGATAACATTCTAGATTCGCGTAACGTGTTGAGACCTGTGCTACAAGGTGGGTACGTGAAGCCAAGCTGAGCGGCGTTGGCCGTTCCCGTGCCTCTGGTTCTTGGTTACGTTTAAGCGCTTCTATTCCGCTCTTTGCGGGGAGCCCGGCGGTTTTGCACCTCACCAAAACTTCCGTCTAACCACCTTGGAGAAGACATTCCCTTGGCTATTCTTCTGAATCCCTCTGCTTTCTTCCGAATCCCCTTGCTGTTCTTCTGATTCGCTGCTTGCTGCGGCCGTGAGAAACGTCCCGGCCGTCTATTGTGTCTTGCCTTGAACTCTCGGCCAAGTTTTTGGATCATTATCAGGCTTGTGCTAGCCAGTGTCTCACTTATGAGCATTATTCTGAGGCTGAGAAAGTAATCGATTTGCGAAGTGTGCATGTTCAAAGCGTGAACTCAGGTGGCAAGGAAGATAGCGACATTGATCAATTCTGCTCAAGTAATGATTCTGATGCCAACTTGAAGGAGATTGCTGGAATTGAGTTGAGGGATCAACCGTCACTTTTATTGGCCGGCTTGCCGAACTATCAAACCCTGCTTCATGATCCCCTAACAATCCAACCGCTTGGAATTGCGGTGCACTGCTTCGCATTTCCGCGTCTGTCCGTCCCACCAGTCTGGAGGTGGTCTCTTCAATCTCTCGTAACCTCCACATGTTGATCAACGCGCGCTTGCTAAGACGTGTGCGGTTGGCGGATCGGTTGATTGAAGCGGTAACTTTTGTCATCGAAGGTTATTCCAACTCATTCTACAGTTTCCACCCGACTTCTCAACCACAACATTGCACGGTCCCTCGTGCATTGATGTCCTGTGGAAGACGACTATAGCTCCAGGCTCTACGGCGGGGGCCGTCGCCCGTCTCCGCTTTTGTAGCGCATGTTCGTCTACTGACTCAACTATGCCGTCATTGCGCTTGACCTCCCAGTCCGATCTTATGGATTAGGCACTTTGGAATGAAATTGAGCAAGACGCAAAAGACCTGACGACGAAAACGAGGGATCTCCTGAATCCTTTGTAGGTGGGCTCTACAGTCTATAATCTGCTTTTTCCGCTTCATGTGATAGCCTCAAATGCCAATTGTGGGTCTTGGAATTGTCCGACACTTTTGAGCCCCGCCCACTCTCGAACAATGTGTTGAAAAGGAAAGCCTTGTGGTAGTGTCGCTATTAAAGCAATGGGACGCTACATAAAATTCCACTCTCGCTCAGACTGAGTCGCGCTGAGATCACAATGTACACACCTCCGACCATCGCCTCGGTTCTCGTTTCCTTCACAAATTAGTTTGGAGGCATTAGTATCTCCTACTTGCTGGTTTGCTGCAGATCGTCCTCAAATTAGATCGCAGGTGTTGCACCCTCTCTGCTTTTAGTGGGGCCACGGCAGGTGTTTTTGAATCTCTCAAAATCCGATTCAAACAGCATTGATTTCAAGGTAGTCGATATCAGCAAAGCTGCCCACACTCGGTCTTTGGACGTTAAACCGTGTCGACTTCGGTCCTTGAATCTCGCTCAGTTTGAAGGAACAAATTGCCGAGTCGTACCTAAAAACTGGGCTAGCTGTTTCGTCGTGCTTCATTGGGTCCTGATCGTAATCTTAGTCCGTTCGTTCTGGCAACCGCACATGCCGCTTTCGAAGCTCTGCTACCAATCTGGCCTGTTTGGCATTGGAACTGGAAAGTTGAAGAACGCGAGTCAACCTTATAGCCCAGAGCCTTGCAGTCAGATTCACTGAGTCAACCTCGCGTTGTTCATATGGTAGTACAGCCGGTAATGACGGTTTCCAGAATGAGAAGCGCAGCAGTTGCTTTTCACTCGCAGTGTCCCCGATTGCCTCCTCGACCTGACAATACTGGCTTTGCAATTATTTTCTCTGCCTCA